GATGAAATTTACATCAATTCACGCAGGGTAGAGATGACATACATTTTCATGGGAGCTTTTTCTCTGACGATACTGCTCCTGAAGAGGAAAACGACTGGATCCAGTCATGTTCGATGACATAGAGTTTCTTAATCCTGCATCCATCACGTTAATAACACACAAACAAAAAAAAGAAGCGAAAAACAACAGCTGTAAACAGAAATATATATTCGGAAAGAAAAGGACCTGCAAAAACAATATTAGACCGTTAAGGGATCAACAAATTTAATCAAAATTGAATGTAGAATAAAGAACGGAAGGGGATTGAGAATGGTTCGCTTCAAACTGTTCTAGGGTTATATTGATGCCGCTTGGCAAAAAAGAGTCGTAATTTGCTTGGACTAAAATGCCCATCCGAGTCAGGGGGTTCAGCAACTCTATGATTTGGGAAAGGAGCTCTTATTTACGCTCATTTAATTATTAACTACACAATATAAAAACTATAAACTAGTAATAAATATCATAATCATCTTGCCAAACCAGAGCCTTCCTGTCACATTTGCTACGCCGTATGTGCACCTCATTTTCAGCCATATCTTCATCCTCCACTACGCTACTGTCAGCTCACTTGCATCACTATCATTTTAGCCATAGCATTATCTGAACTAGCGATCGAGCAAAGGTCAGAAGCAAATAGGATATAAGAGATGGACCATTAGAAGTAAATGATTTGGTGTAACTGGAATCAAAGATTGATCAATGTATCCCAAGTTTTGTTGGAAATAAATGGTTGATTTACCTCATCAGAGATAGATCAATATCCTAAGCATTCCATCCCCTCCCCTTCGCATTCAACTTTCACTTTTGAGTAGTGCCTAACAAATGCTTGAACCCCTTGTCTTGAAAGCCTCCAATAGCACTAAAACAATTAGAAACACAGAATGTATAACAAAATATAGTGAGAATGCTCCAATATATAAAACCAGGAATGACCAAAGTACTCTGTAAAAGATTGAATGCCAGAACGCATGGGCACTCACTGTGAAAAAGTAAGATCTTGAAAAAGTAATGGAGGAATCTATACCCGAGATTACATCGAGCATATAGTAAATCGGGCATCAACGGATTCAGTTAACATGAGCGAACGGCTCCGGGTTAGACTTGGGAACCTGTTTTTTGACTTCAGGGGTTCCAAAAACATTCCAGAATCTTAGTGTTTCATCACCTGCAGCAGATGCAACAGTGCAACCATCTGGGCTCTGCACAACAAATATGATTGTGAGTATACTAATCATTTACCACGCACTGCCACAGAAATCTTTTGATATTAATTTTGTGAGAAAAAGAAGAAAGATAGTTAAACCTGAGCCATAAAAAGAACTCGAGAGGTATGTCCCGTAAGCTCTGCCATTTTAACCATTGATGGGTGGGTATTTCCAGAGCGTGAGCTGATTCTTAGTAAACCCATGAGAGCTAAGCAACTCGATCTCACTCTTGTTCCACAGCAATGATTTTAAGAGTTAAAAAGAAATTTTAAATAGCATGAAAACACTCATTGGTCTGAAGAGTTACTCTTTAAATTCTCACTTAAAGAGCTAAGCAAGGCTGCCCTCAGAAGCATCCCACAGGTAAACAGTACTGCCAAGAGCAATAGAGAGAACATTGATGCTTCCCCAATCTAGTAGATTCAAGTAGTAATCATCCAAAATATCTGGGGCATCTAAAGTCCTCTCAGATGTCTGCAAAAATGAATCATTCATTGTGAGAAAAAAGAATCCTTTCTATCATTGACCCGCTAACCTCAAGAACAATCAAGCACTACTTGCCTACCTGAGGAATGTGGTCATTCAGAAAACCATCCAAAGGGGGGGTGGGTGGTTTGTTCTTAAAACACACACACACACACACACACACACACA